AAGCAGTTAAAAATAAACGTAATACATAAAATTTTGGAGGTTATATGACCATTTAATAAAGCCTTCGCCACGTTTTCTTCATAAAAAAGCATTATTTTTAATTTATTTATTTATCAATTTTTTTCAAAGAAAAGATCTGCCAACCATTTTTATTTTTTGTTTTTTGTTTCTAAAAGATTTCTAAATTGTCTATCCTTACAGTATTTGGAAATTCCATATTTGGTAATAATCCTGACTGTAATAATGACCATTGTTAACTGTTATGCCAAAATAATGGCCAAAAATGGTAATTATTTGCAAAACAATAGTCCAAATATAGATGGATTTTTAATACAAGCGTATATGACGTTACAAAAATTTTTGAATTTTATTTGTTGTTGTGTAAACCGAATTTATATCAATATGTTACATAGACCGTTTTGTGGATAACGATTTATTCAGCCCTTGTATAGGTTTATAAAATTATAAAATTATTTGTTTATTTATATATAACGCTGACCATCGTCATTTTTTTTAGAATAGTACTTTTTTATTTGCAAATAGCTTGTTTCGTTATAAAGTAATATTTGACTATCGGGTCCCAGTTCTTTTCAAGAAGCAGATCATTTTTGTAGGAATTACGATTTTTAGTAAAATAAATGTTATTGATTTATTATATACTTGAACACAATGCGTATAAACATTAGAATTGTATAAAAAATAGTCATTGCAGTCAGTAATAAAAGTATATATTACGTGCAATTTCAGATCATATTAAAAAAACTTTATTATTTCTTTTATTATGTAAACCGGTTTGATAATATAATCTATGTTTTAATTAATATTCATATCAGCCAATTTGGTTTTTTACAAACATCTATCTATATATCTTATCTTGCTGTGTAACTGATCAGTAGAATGATAATTAAATACATTTGCTCCTCTAAAAAAAACTATTATAAAACTATTTTAAACCATTTTACTACTCAGCAGTCCATCCAACCAATGGTTCCACCTCAAAACCAACGTGTTTTTTGCTACTATATATAAGGTATTCATAACATTACAATAGTAAATAAATACTCGTAGTTATTATATAAAATATAATTAATGTAAAACAAATACAAGCCAAAGCTTTTAAAACGATATATGATGGCAAAACAACCACTTTCTTTACTTCAACGTCAATATCTGTGCACTATTTGTAAGGTTATTAATTACATAATTAGAATTGTTCATAAAACATATTAATGGGAATGAATACATTTATAATTAAATTTATAATGATTTTTTTTAACTATATCAAAATATTCTACTGTTATTAATACTACTACCAATATATTACTATCAATATATATACTACTACTTGAAGAGTATGTATACAACATTACATTAATTAATTTTTATTTTCCAAAAAAAAATAGATCTATCTGCTGATGTGTACAAGCAGAAGGATTGTTACGCGATTATTATTGTTATTATTTTATTATACTGGTAAAAAATCAAATTTGGTTTGCAATAAACGTTTGTTATGATGCATAGTTTAATTAATAAAGGTCAAAAGCTGTATACCCTAACAAATGTTTAAATTAATAAAGTGTATTTCTTAAGTTGTTATACAGTAGATTTATTAAAACCATTATAATTATATAGTATAATTCAATTAACGTTACTGAATTTGGGTTTCAAACAAAATCAGCGTATATGTTCAAAAAAAAAAGAACCTTTTTGTATAGGAATTCCAAAAAACAAAATACCAGTTTTCTATTTTAAAAATGAAAAGTTTTTCTTTTCCATTTAGTTAGTTACACAACAATTTAATTCGATTGCGAGTAATAATAGTAAGAGTAATAATAGTAAGAGTAAAAATAAATAAATATAATATTGTCTGACTAATCTAACATGCACACGCATACAGATGGGGCTAAGCAAAATTTTTTAATCAGAGGAAAGATCAAAAGGCGTGACGTTAACGCGTAAAGACGTCACTTTGGAAACAGGTTTTAGTACAAGTTAAATTGATAAAGATAAAAATGGATTAATAATGAAAATAAAGTTTATATTATATTTTATATATCTGGTTAAGACTTGCTTATAAGGAGTAGTGTATTTATAAACCTATAAAAAAATGGATTCTACCAATTTTTTTTAAAAAAATTTTATTCTAATTTTTAAAAATATCTTTAATATTCTAAAATTGTTTTTATCAAATGAGTGATCAAAGAAATAATATCTTCTCCTCAAACTATACACAAACTAATTCTTCTTGTAATAATAATGTCGGTATTAATAATAATATTGGCACTTTTGATGGAATTTCTCAAATTGTTAATTTAAATGACCCTCGTGAAATTTTTTCAACACCCTCTCAACTTTTGCTTCCAACACAATCCCAATTTTCACACGGAACACAATCCCAACATTTACCTGAACTTCTTGGGCTGCAACAATCTCAACCTTTTCCTACGCCACATCTTATTCAGAATTCTCAACTAGACCATGAACCATACTTAATGGACTACAATACAACAAATCGTCATCATCATCATCATCTTCAATCAAACAATCAAGCACAATTTCCCAGCAACAATTATAATAATGCATTAGGTAGACGTCTTGACCTCGTGATTCTAAATTTAAATGATATTACGAATAGTCTTTCAGAGGCTTTGAATAATATTGATGTTTTGGTTAGACGCTACAACAATGAAATTCAAAGTATAAATGCTATTAATAAAAGTCTCTCGGATAATTTTAATAATAATAATAATAATAATAATAATAATTAATCATTTATTAATTTTCAATTCACGTTTTAATTATTAATTTCTTTTTATTTTACTGCTTTGTTTCTTATTTGCCTCAAACAAATTTACAAATAAATATTATTATTATTAAAAACATCCTTTTTTAAAATTTTTAACAAATATTTTTGGTATTAATTTAAATTATTCCATTTTTCGATATGAATTGTTAATTGTTGAATCAGTAAAGACATGGAAACGATTTCTGTCAATCCATTTAATAGACCAATTTCTCTTAAAATGACGAAATTAGTACTAATGGTAATTTGAAAAGGTTTTATATTCCCACAGACTAAGAATTGGATGATACTTAAAGGTGGTAAACACAGAGCTTTCAACGTAAACTTGCTATAAATTATTTAAACAATTTCGTCAGGAAGCTGATATTAATAGTGATGATATTAAAGATATAACGAATGAAAACAATTGGAACCGGAATTATTGGAAAATTTTATAAGCCATGTTCATTATGTGCGCAGTAGCATGTGAACTTAAACAAGATACAGTATATCAAACTTGGCAAAAAATTTTATTTGATATCCGAAATTATAGCAGACATGTCAGGTAAAATAAAACTAATTCAAATATCAACAATGCTAAAAGAACAAAATCTGATGCATTGGAAAAGCATGGCATATTACATATTTTAGAACATCCATCATTAAATCTTACAAAATAGCCTTTTGGATTTTATATTTATGTAGTTTTTGTGGAGGATATCTAAAAGACTTAAGATCCTTGGGTAACATTAAATAATGATAAGAGCATAACTATATCACTTTCCAGGGAAAAGGATCATGCTAGTGACCTTGATGACATGGATAATAATGGACGTATTTGCGAAATACCAACTGATGCTAATAGTAAATTTCAACATGTACAAGGCATAATACATTATAAAAACAGAAGACCGGTTCATTGTGAATGTCTAATTTTTTCTTAAAAATAGTAAATAAAGTTAATATTCAAAAAGGAAAATGGTTTTCAAATATAACAAACCTAGGAAAAAAATTTACTTGATAATCCAATTAAATAAATCTGTAAAGTTGTAAACGACACATTTTATGAGAACAACTGGAACAATGCAATTAACAAATTTGGTTGTTCTTGTTAATAAAATTATGGCATATCATGGACACCGTTCAGTCACTGGTTTAAGTTCTTATCAAACTGTTCCTAAAAACAGATGTTTAGCAATGTATCGTCTTTAATCTATTCAGAATTCTTATTACCAGAAAAAAAATATCTGAAGTTGGTATTAAAGTAGACGTTGGATTATGTAGTGAAGGGATGATGATTGTATACCATTAACAGTTAAAATTAGGGGTTTTTTTATAAAGCTTGGATAATTTGAGATAATTTTATGGTTTAACACAAGTCTATAGAAACAATAGAACCCCTTTTAGAGAAGTTAAGGGCTAAATTTCTGATTATAATGCTTTAAAAAAGCTATTACTATTTAAAATCATAAAGTCTCAGAAGATGCAATCACAAGTAACAAAAAAACACAAAGTTCTACTGATTTAGAATTAACTATTACACAAATAAATGCTAGAAATAACATTAAAGTTGACGCTCATATTACAATAATAAAAAAATTAGATGAATTGATTATTAGACACAAATAAATTTTTAGGTTCTCATCACCCATCGGATCACCAAGCCTAAAAATTTTAGTTGTTGCCTTAGTATTTGTTAAAAAAAAAATTTTTTTTTTCATATACAGTTCACTCTCTCTATAACGAACCCTCTGTTCCAGCAGAAAATGGCCGTTATAGAGAGAGACCGTTATAGGGAATTTGACTATAATCACGTGATAGAATCAAACCAATGAGAATTGAGAGTCAAAATTTATTTATTTTTTTATTTTTTATAATCGTCAATAATAATAATAAACATAATAATAATAGTAATATAAATATAAATATAAATGAAATAAATGATAAACAAACTAGACAATACTTGTTAAAAACAAAAATTTATTTATTAAAAAAACTATGCAAATTTGTTTGTTGACTTGAATTAAATTCAATCAATTTGATTTTCCTTTTAAGACTTTTTAATAATTTCAATTCATCATTACTTACTTGTAAATTATCTGATTGTTGTTCAATATATAATTTTAGTTTTTCTATTGACAATAAAGCTTCTATATTTAGAACAGGTGGAGCTTCTTCACCAATTCCTTCATCAATTCCTTCTTCATCTTGGTCTTGCTCATTTGAAATAATCATGGAAATTATTTCTTCTTCATTTGGTGGATTGTAAGTTTTTTCTGTTTCATCAATTGTAATATACTCAGATGCAGAGAGTGGGTCTGAAAATCCAAATTGATCAATCAAGCTTTGCAAATCATCTTCTTCATTTAATAAATTTAAAGTACTAGAATTATTATCAACATCAGGCAAAATGCCAGTTTTTTTCCAGCAATTAGCTATAGTTTGACTGGTAACATTTTCCCAAGCTATTGCTGTATAATTTATTGCATGTTTGATAGTTATAGGATTAGGTATTTGGCCATTTCTTTCTTTTTCATAAATTCTAATTTTTTCCTTAAGAAAAGTTTCTTGTAATTCACCTATAAAAATCAAATCTTTAGAAGTTGTATTTAATTTAAAACAAATAAAAATAAGCAAAACTACCTTAAAGCTATTTATTATGCCAGCATCACATGGTTGGAAAAATGCTGTAGTATTTGGTGGAAGAAAATGAATTCTAATATTAGATAAGTCAATTGTTTCAGAAACTGAATGTGTTGGAGCATTATCAAGCAAGAGCAAAATATTTCTATTTTGCAATCTCATAGATTTGTCAGATAGTCATTAAAAATGGATGTTTGCATCCAAGCTTTAATGTTCCAATAATAATTCACTGGCAAGGATTTTTTCTCAATTTTTTTAATTGCTCTTGGATTTTGAGACTCATGGATCAGAAGAGGTTTTAATTTCTCTGTTCCACTAGCATTACAGGTCAACATTACTGTAATTCTTTCTTTCATTTTTTTTCTTCCAGATACTGGCCCTGTAGATAGTACTCTAGATGGTTCCATTTTCCAAAATAAACCTGTTTCATCTGCATTAAAAATATCAGACAATTGGTATTGGGCTGTAATGTTTTTTAGATCTTCTCTATAAAATGGTAATTCAGAAATGGGAGCACTACCACTTTCACCTTGCTTTAAATATTGTTTAATGTTGTGTCTTTGTTTAAATTTAGTTAACCAGCCTTCTGATGCCTTAAAGTCCTCAATTCCAAGAAGCACAGAAAATTTTTTTGCTTTTTCCCTTAATATATCACCATTAAGATCTAAACATGCATTAATTGCTTCTTGAACCCAAATAGCCATTGCTTGGTCAATATTTTCATATAGCAAGCTTCTCTTTTTCTTTTTATTAGCATTGGAAGATTCTGGATCAACTTCAAGCCATTTTTCTTTTTGATTTAAAATATCAGTGACAGTGCTTTTTCCTATATCAAAAGCTATTGCCAATTCTGAATTTGATGGAATTGGAGTATTTTGTTTTGCTAAACAAATTTCTTTTTTTTGCAAGGCTGTTAAAGATTTCCTTTTATTTACTGACATTGAAAAATTATTGTGGAATTATTTTTAATTGATCTTAAAAAGTAAATTAATAGAATAAGTTGGATTATCAGAGGACTTAAATTATGTTTTCCTTTGGGTGATTATATTTTAGTGAATCACTAGAATATGGGTATTTTGGATTAGGATATTTAATTTAGAGTATAATTTGAATTATTTATTAGATATTTTTGTGAATAATACAATTCTTATATTTTCAAGATCAAAAAAGAATTACTCTCAACTTGAAGTGAATTGTGGTCTTTATATACCTTCTAATTCATTGACATTGCTTGTCAATAATAATATCATAAAAAAGTTAGAAAACCATTCATATGTCATGTTTACAAATAATTACTATGCTAAAAATCAATATTGAAATCATGGAGTAGGTCATAACAACATTCTCATGATTTTTCAATTACAAATTACGACTTTTTTAGATGTAAAATAAAATATGTGAGGTAATGTTGATAAAGGTGTCATTGTTATGATAATATAGATATTGTAATAATAATAATAATAATAATAAATATATGAATGCGTTTTAATTAATACAATATCTGGTATACGAATTTGTATTAATCTGATGTAATGATTTACGGTTGTACAGTAAAATTTGATCACCAGTTCGTTATAGAGAGAAATAATTTATATAGAGGGTTTTTCAGAAATGGTTCGTTATATGGTATAAAGAATTTAATTAGAAAATTCATTATAGAGAGAGATTTTAAATAATAAAATTTTGGATTTAAATGTTAAGTTCGTTATAGAGAGTGACCAGTATAGAGAGGGCTGTTATAGAGAGAGTGAACTGTATAAATCTTGATTTTCCTTAAACTTTTCTAATTTTGGTAAAAACCTAAATTTTATTTTGTCACATTTTATATCCAATAAAATCAAACTTCCACCATGCTCTTTTTAAAGTAATTTGAATTCAATCGACTGCTATTTTATCTATTAATTTAATTAATTTGTTCACCGCTTAATTATCTACTATTTTCTTGCCATTTCCCAGTTTTTTAACTGTTCTAAATAATTTTCTTTATTATCCATCATCTTTTTATAAAATTGTTGTTTTTCAGAATGATTTTTTTTTAAAAAATTAAAAAGGATATATGTAATCGATCCCTGTACCTGTACTTTTCTGGAGACCCTCATGTGTCCCCCATTTACATTGACTATTATAAATTATACTTTAAAATAATAAACTCAAAATAGAAAATTTTAATTGTTAGTTATTATTATTTATTAAACAACGTTCTTACAACAGATTCTATTAATTTAATATTTATTATTTTATTGTTTAATATTGTCATTAATTTTTATATTTATATGTTGCTTTAAATAAAAACAAATTCAAATTTATGAATTTCCGAAATTTTTATTCGCTAGTACTAGAACACCTAGATAAAAAATATGGCAAGTATCCTTTGGCACAACCACGCTACAAAGAACGCAAAAAAGAACCCCGACAGTATTCTGACTAATATCTAGGTTGGCAACATCATCTATTGTTCCATTGCAGATTTCTTTGTCTATGACCAACTATGTTTGTTATATTCTAATTTTGATGTTGATTATATTGGCTTAATTTTCAATTTAAAATATTGTTGGTCGCCAAAACTAGTTATAATGTATATATTAATTTATTATTTTTGTGTTCAAACACAAATAGAGCTGTTAATTGTCCGGTACTGCCCAAGACCGTCAGCCTAATTAAAGGATTAGACCGTTAGACCGGAATGTAGATAAGGTTTATTCGTACCATTTGTTTTATTTGTTATAAATTTGAGTATTCGAATTACATTCAAAGTTTATTCGATTAAATGAATAATTTGAATAAACAAATAATTCGAATAAACGAGTAATTCAAATAAACGAAAGATTCGAGTAAACGAACGATTAAAATAAAATGAATAATTTTAATAAAAATGAATAATTCGAATAAACGAATGATTCGAATAAAATGAATAATTTGAATAAAACAAATGATTCGAATAAAAGAATAATTCGAATAAAACGAATAAGGATAATAATAAACAGATAGTTTAAATAAAATAAATAATACGAATAAACGAATAATTCGAATAAATGAATATTATTCGTGTAACTATTTGTTAAAAAGTTGAATTTCAGAAAGAATATACATTCATAGGGATAATGAATGAATTTTGAATTAATATATTAGAGGTTGGACCTGGGTTGGAGAAGATACCCGGGTCAGGACAATGTCCGCCAAGGGAGAAGGACTGTGATGTAACTCAAAATTAATTAAAAATTTTGTCCCAATTTTTTACTATTTGAATAACATATTAATATATTATAACCTGTTACTATATAATGGAAATAAAATGCAAATCTTGAATCAGGCCTTAAATAATCATGTATTTTTCCGCCAAATTCATGCATATTTTTGATAATTAACAATAAATTATAAAAATTTATTTGTACTTTTTGCCATCAGAATTGCGTTTTATGCGTCATAGATACAATGTATATATTAGTGTTTGTATTCATTGGCACAACGATCAAACTTTGCCGCAACGGAATCAGTGTTGTGACCAGAAACTCTTTTGGCTTCCCGAAACGTTTCGGAAAATGAACTTACACTAAGCAGAAAACTA